GAGATGTGACGCGTCGCCTCTCTTGAAGAGAAAGGGTGAGAATTATAAACCACAACACTGAAAGAGGAAGAAGAGAGGAAACTGAGAATAGAGAGTAGAGAGGAGCTGTAGATACTGGAACAGAATGAGAGGAGGTGAGGAAGAGGAGAGAGGAGACACATCAGAGCTGTAGACACTAGAACAGAGAGAGGAGGTGAGGAAGAGGAGACATCAGAGCTGTAGACACTAGAACAGAGGGAGAGGAGTGTCTGACTGTGGCTGAAGGTGATGAAGAGGTGACAGGAGCTCACGGTGTGCGTCTGTCCTGCAGGTCAGCAGCTGTTCTCCTCTGAGGGAGGGAATGTCTCTCTGCCTTGTGATGGAGTCAGCAGCTGCGATTCAGTTTCCTGGAAATACAACACTGGGTCTGGGCCCGAGACACTGCTGATCGAGAACGGACAGGATGTTACCACACAGACAGACAGGGCTGGGAGACTGACGGTACTGTCTGACTGCTCCCTACACATACACAACCTGAAGAAGGAAGACGCTGGACAGTACACCTGTGGACCTCACTCCACTAGAAGAAAGACCATCTCTCTCAGCCTGCTCTCTGGTAGGTATATGCTGCTATTCCAATTCATTCAGCTCTTTACAATGCAGAATACCTTTCACGATAAATTAATTCAAACACTGCCAACTATGTTTGTTTAAAGCTGTCATTATGAAGAATAAAACACAGGACTTGAATCTTTCTCTCTCCTCTCTCTCTCCCCTCAATCCTCTCTAGAACCCTGAGTCTAGAACCCCCAGTCCAGAAGTCTAGAGAGGTGTTTTCTAGAACGGGTGTTTGATCCTCTCTCTCTCCTCCCCCAGTTGACCCCAGCCTGACAGGAGTGAACCTGTCACTGTACTGCAGACTGTATCCTGATGTTGACAGTGCCGAATGCAACAAGACCAAGAACCTGAGACTGACCTGGGTGGACGAGCAGGGCGCAGAGCTGAAAAACCAGAGATTCAAGATCAGAGGAGCATCTCCGTGTGAGTCTGTCCTGACCATGAAGCTCCGTGATTCTGATCGAGACCAGGCGTGGAGGTGTGATCTGAGAGAGGAAGACGAGCTGAAGGCTTCAGTGCAGTACAGAGACTCAGGTACTCTCTACCAGTCTGGACTCTCCGGGCGATCGCCTTTAATGACCATATGGCATTGTCCATACATGTTCAGTAAAGTATTTATTTCAGGTCTGATCAATACTAATGAGCAAATAGCTAAATTAGACACTACATTGAAAAAAACTGCATTGCATGACACTATAGTATAATAAACTATACAGCACTACACTGCACTATGCTTAACAATACTGCAATGAATTACTACTGCACTATACTATACTTAACTATAGTACATTGCACTATAGTGAAATATACTGCATCACACTACTTTGCTATACTAAACCACACCGCATTGAACAGTCCTACACTAAACTGTAACATATGTATATGTACACTGTATAATGATAAACTTCACTACATTGAACAGTACTATACTACACTATACTCAACTACACCGTATTGAACAGTACTGTACTAAACTATGCTGCATTGTGCTTATCTACTCTGCATTGAACAGTACTGTACTAAACTATGCTGCATTGTGCTTATCTACTCTGTATTGAACAGTACTTTACTAAACTATGCTGCAAGTGTAGTTTAGCAGTTTCCTATACTGCACTGCACAGAATTACACTCAAGGGCACTGGGCTATGCTGGGCTGCACACAGAACTCGGCCCGACCAACGGACACGAGACCCCGGCTCATCGG